GTGTGTGTGTGTGTGTGTGTGTGTGTGTGTGTGTGTGTGTGTGACTGAATTGTGTTGAAGTGAATTAGGAGAAGTTGTCAATTTCTATCACACTTCCCACACTCTCTAGTCAGTGTGTGAAGTCTTCAACAGGTGGTTTCTGATCTGGGTAAAAGAGCACCTGCTTTGTGGTTAGTGCTTGGATCTCTCCATTCATATAGTATTATCTTTTCAGCAGCTAGGAGATGCCTGGGCCTCTTCTAGGTGTTGGAGAGTTGATGAATAATATAAGGAGACCTAGTTCACTGAGCTGATGATTTATCTCAAAGAGCAAGATAGACAAAGATCCAGCAAATGTTACCTCAAGGTTGTAGCACATGGTGAAAAGCAGAATGAAGGAAATGAAATGGGGGATGTAGCAGGGGACTGCTTTGCTTACAGGGTCAGGAAGAGCTTCTCTGAGGAGGTAATATCTGAGCTGATTCTGACAGATAGATTGTTGGCCAAGAAATAGGTACCCCATCCTTACCTTCACTTTACAGCAATTTTTCCCTCCTAATTTAGTTATAACTAGTTAGTTATTTTAATATTTTATTTAATGCTTATTTCACTGCCTTAAGACTTGCAGGGGTTCAGCTGTTGTGTTTTGCCCTCTCACATTGCATCCCCTGGACTTACCAGAGCAGTCACATGACTTCATTCATAGTTTTGATTGGCAGTGTGGACCAATTATTCAGCCAGATCTCTTGGCACATGTCGAAAGCAACCCAGAGGTGGGTAGCCACAGATAAGACTAAGGAGGACTTGAAGATCAAGGGCAGGCTCAGTTTAGAACAGATGCTACCATGCAGCCAATGAACAAATAAAACCCATTTGGTTACAACTGAAGATTTTTGGCTCTCACTGAAAAGACTTCAGAAGGAAAAGCAGAAAGCCAAGAACGTTTTCAGTCACATTTTATAGATGGTACTCATAGCACCCAGTAGACAAATAGCATCTCTTAACTTGTAAAGAAATATCATAGCAAGTGGAAATTTTTTAGTTCTGAGCCATGGAAATATGATTTGATTTTAATAGATGATAATAATAGTAATAATAAGACCAACCACAAAATCTGGGTTCCCATCTGAGTTCTTCCTAGTTTTCTGATTAAGCACTGTATCTCATTTAGTCCTCCTAAAAATCCCAGGATAAAGTGTATGCTATTATTTATAGATGAGAGGATTTACCCCAAGAGATTAGATAACTTGCCAATTGCAAGCAAGTGGAGAAGCTAAGATTCTAGCACTGGCTTCTCACCTACACCTTCCCCAGGGCCGTGTGGGTGAGGCTAATGCTCCCAGGTTACCTGATCTTGACATTGTCTCCCCTGTGGTCTAGTGTAGGACAGAGCACCAAGAGTTAGATTAAACTTCTCTATCTGCTTAATTGGAACCTGTGGGCATTTGATCAGGGCTGGTCAAATTTACATCCTGATCTATTGGAAAGAAAGTGTTTGCTAATCACAATCATAATTCTGTAGAAGGAAATCTAACCAAATCCACACACTTACCCATCAGTGCCTCCAGAGATAAGCACTGAAGGTTTACTAACCTGGGACATGGTGCCGGGGAATGTGGGATTAGGCGATGTGGAAGGCATAGAATATAAAGGGGAATAAGAAGGAAGGAAGGAAGGGATATTGATATTAAGTAATAAAAATATGAACACCATAACAGAGTAACAGAAAAAGTACCAAGTAGGCATCTCTCACACCTAATTGGGACTTTGGGGCAGATTCCAAAAGGGCATCCTGGATGGGGTGGCATTAATGTGTGAAGAGATAACAGTAAAACAACTCAAATTTACTTTTTCTTATTTACTCCAAACTAAGGACTGATAAAACATATTTTAAATATATAAAACAGATCCCACCTCCATGTTTGGGCCACACACTAATTAGCTCTCACTTGGATACAGTAGACATAGACGTCAACCTCCTTTGGCCAAGCAGAATGGCAAACAGTCCAGTCAGTGTGTGTGTGTACAATACCTCAAAGTCTTCTAAGAAGAAAGCATTCCAAAGTCAATCCAGAATGTGTTTCCAGTTCCTCAAAGGGAACTATCCTGCCTGCTTGCTTCCAGCACATCTCTGGTTTTATTAAACAATGAATAATATGAAGAGGAATCACTGTGCTGACCTAACAACTTTTTTTAATGGATTTCTCTGACTGTGATATTTATTTGGGCCTTTCAGTATCACCTGGGTTTAGGCAGCATATTTCCTTTGGACAAATGAGAACATTAGAGGGTTTTTAGACAACCCAGCCCAGGAACCCAGGTGGTAAGATCTTGGCTTTCTTGCTCCTCCCCTCCCTTAGAGGTACAGAAATACCATCTGAGGGACCAGGTTTAATGTATTTTTAGAAAACACATTAACTCAATTTTCCCTTGGATTCTGAGAAGTTGTAATAGTAAATCAAGGCCTCAAAGGGGAAAACATTCTACCTGTTGCTCTTTAAATAAGGAGCCCCCTGAGGTAGTCCTGTTTGGCCATAGAGTATTTTATTTTTTAATTCAAACTTTATGCCTTTAAACAAGGTGTGCACTCACTAGTCCCTCTACATTTGACTACATTTGGAGAGGTTTGCCTATGTCTCACATTGCCCCTTGTTGCTTCAGTCTGTGAGTTTTGCCTTCCAGTTGCATTCTCGACCTCAGCACTGTGGCCCTTCTGGTCAGGTCACCATCATGTATGGGGTGAGGGGCTGTCCTGTGCTTCTTAGTGTACTTAGCACTGTTGTCTTATCCCTTCTGGATGGTAGTAGTACTCCTGCTCCATCCCCATCATGGCAAATCAAGTGCTTTTGAATTTGGTAAATAACCCCTGGCAATAGTAGTGTTTAGTAAATGTTTGTGGAGTAAATGCACACAGGCATGAAAGAATACCAGTTTTCCAATCCACAAGAAAGATGGATAAGACAGGAGACTAAGAAGAATTACTCTTGCAAGCCCTAATTTGAGAATTGCTACTTTCTAGTAATATGGCTTCAGAGACCTGGGCTGGGGCCATGGCCACATTAATTGTACATAAGGCAACATAACTTGGACAAACAGTGCTTTGACTCAAAGTAAGCATCATGGAGATCAGACTATAATTTATCATGCTTTAGTTTCTCTACCTCCCTTTCCCATAGCTCTGGTGTATAAATCTTATGAAACGATATTTGTAAAAGTGTTTTGAAATTTTAGAAATATAAGGTTGTTGCCATTGGTCTAACTTGGCTCTTTAGGCAACCACGAACGCTGGACATCGAAAAATGGCAGTTCTATTCTGTAATAAATCACTTAAATTTGAAGGAATTCCATCAACCAAGTATACTGACAAGGAGTTGAACTCAGCAGTAAGAAATGTCACTCTTGTCACTAGAAAGAATTTTCTTAGCGTCCCCTGTCTGGTTGGTCTTTCTGGCTGCTTGGAGAGCTGGTATTCATGCATGTATGCATACATTTGTTTATTCAATAATATTTGTTAAGCATTATTATGCACCAGGCACTGTGATGGGCACAAGGAATGCTTATGTAATTCAT